GCAAAAGGACAAATGGCGTAGCCCAAAGTATCTCTTGTGCTACATTCCTACCCTCAGCCACTTTGCTCGTGCATAAGAAGAAGGTCGAGAAATGGAGAGCCAGGTTGAGAATCCGATCAGAACAAGCAGGATGTGGTGTCTAGCCAATACATGGACGAAATGCAACACTCGATCAAGACCTAACCTACTCCAAATATCCGGCGCCCAGGCGGGCACCTAAGCGGGTGCCTAGGCGGGTGCTTAGGTGGGCACACAAGCCGGTGCCTAGCAGGCACCCAGGTGGAGTGGATGTATTGGGGCAGGTGCCTAGGCAGGTAATTTTATAAATTTCTGGTAAATCAGATTATAAATGAGATGCTGGTTTACCTACCGTAGATGTAGGCACCATTGCCGAACCACGTATATGTCTTGTTGATCATTCTCTCCGGTCACTATTTGTTTTATTGCAAATTCGACAGTACCAAATTCAGTAAGTAGGATCTCGAAGCAGGCCTTCATCTAGAGGTAGAAGCTTTTTTCTTCTTGATGTCCATAACGATGTGCAGTAGGGATCAAGCTTGTAGCAAAGAGATTGATAATAAGGCATAATAGTCCCTTAGAGAGTGGCATCGTGAAGGCTGTTGTGCTTGTTTATGTCGATGTCCATCCACTCGGCCCTGGGTTGTTGGCAAGTGTTTGTTGAAGGCAAAGACGAGCATCTCCGACTCCTCCATTCGATTGAGAACAAAATAAAAAATTGTCGCATGCTATGCCATACATGCTCAAAGCCATGTCTATGTAGCATCCTTAGTGTAGGAAAAATTGAACCGAAATCATTACCGACATGCAACTAGAAGCGGTTCAAACGGCCCAACCGGTAAACATTCAACTGTCCTAATCAAGTAAGTCCCAAGTGGTAAAAAAAGTGTTAAAAAATAAAAAAACACAAAAAAAGAATCTAATAAAATATAAAAAATATGTTTACAGTATGATTAAACAAAACACATCCAAATGAAATTGAAAATTAATGAAAAAAAATAGATTTTAAAGAGTCGATTTTTTTCTAGAGAAATTTTTTATTTTTATTTTTAAATATGAGGAACTGTAAAAATAAATATTAATGGCAAAAACAATTCCAATCTTTACTAAAATGATGAAAAACATTAAAAAATGCATTATAAACAAAATCCCTTACTTTTTGGGATTGTTTATAATTTTTTTTGAAATTTTTTTAAAGTATCTAGCTAACTCTCCAAAACGAGCTAAAATGGGAACCGGCCAGTTCCAATCTAATCGGGAGATTAGGATGTGAACCACCCAATTTTTCCTACAGCGTTCCTCACGTCTCGCTTGAGTAGCACTTTCCAGGAATCATTGATGATTCATAATGGTTATCCTGCCCGAGCTTGTTGACTATGCAGCATGGTGAGAAAGTAGTCCTCAATTAAAAAACGTCTCTCTCTCTCTAAATGGATTCATATGTCTCTCTCTCTCTCTAAATGGATTCATATGTCTCTCTATAATACACAACTGACCATAGCTATAATATCTTCTCTAATTTTTTAAATCCGTTACTATGAATTTCATTCATCCATGAACGATTCTCTAATTTTTTAAATCCGTTACTATGAATTTCATTCATCCATGAACGATTACAAAGAGGTTCAAGTAGAAAGGATGTAACCACCAATGAATATTGGTGCACACCACCCTTTGTTAAAACATCAATTTCTATATTATCTTCCTTAAAACAATGACATAACTCAAAAGAACTATTACTTAAAATGAAAAAGATTTCGTCGAAAATACTACATAATCTCCAAGGTGGCTTCATTTTTTCCTTTTTCCAAGTAATGACATTTTTTGAATCACCTTCAATCATGTTTTAGCCCTCGTGATTCTTTATTATCTTTAAACCCTCCAAAAGAGCTCTTGCCTCAGCTTCGTTCACTGTTGTATGTCCACATGTTCCCGAGTAGGTGAATTTGTAATTATCCATATGATCTCTAATGGTACTGCCATCACCTGCTGGGCATGCGTTTCCAATCGAGCTTCAATCAAAGTTGAGTTTTAAGCAATTTTCATGAGAAGGCATCCAAATAGCATTTCAAATTTGTCTATCATTATTAAGCTTAGCAACTTCAGATGGGTTTTCAAAGATATGTGATTTTCGGATAAACTTACAATTCTTATTTGTTGAAAACCATTTAATTGTTGTTGCTAAGGTGTTGGACTCACGGTGGTCACAATTCCTTACAACCATTTGATGTGACAAGAATTTGATGTGAAATTTGAAATTTAACAGGCATTTCTTATCACAATTTGATGGAATTTGATGTGAAATTCCATTTGATATGAAATTCTTTAAATAGGTCCGAGTCCAAACTTTTTTCATGAGCCAAAAAGTTCGATGTGAGCCCGAGTGAGCCTGGCTGGCTAGGCCCAAACTTTAGATGGCATCGCATCCCATTTGATGTGAAATTCTTGTCACAATTCCTTACAACAATTCCTTACAACCATTTGATGGACTTACGCACTAAGGTGTTGGACTCAAGGTGGTCACAATTCCTTACAATCATTTGATGTAAAATTTGATAGTTTGGATGTGTCACAAAATTTGAAAAAATTTCTTTTGAAGTTTGAGTTTGATCTATGGAATAATTGCAGCCACACAACTTTACATCCAATGGTCAAGATTATTATGACCACCTTATATAAACGGTAAATGGTGTCATTCTATACTTTTCCTAATTTTATTTATTGTTTAATAAATTCGTAATTCCAATTTTAAGGGATTTGGAAAAAAATTGGTTTTTTTTTTTTACATGTATGTATGAAAATAAATCCGAACTCAAAAGACTTCCAGATTTTTTAACTAGGACTTTGATTTGTTTTAACGACAATTGGGCTTCCTTAAGAGGGGAAAACATGGGCGTTTTTTATTAAAAACATAAGAGGTCACATACCCACCTCTCTTTTAGGGCTATTAACGGGCCTGGACAGCCATGGACTGAGCCCAGTCCCATACAGTTATAAGGTAGGCCCGAGTCCAAAAAATTTTGGGCTTAGCGAGCCAGGCTCAGCCCGATCTGGCCTGAGACGGATGCAGACAAAAAATTAGGCCCGTCTCAATATAAATATGAAAAGATTTAATAAATATAATATATACTTTAAAATTTTTTGTGCCGAGCTCAGGCTGAGCTAATGATGGCTCCAACCCAGCCTGAAAATATTTCAGGCCTACCAAGCGTACCCTGGACCTGGCATGCAGACCTTGCATGCAGTCATAACCCAGACCAAAATTGGGCTAGGTCTGAAAACCCAGGGCCTGCACAAGCCCAATATTAGCCCAACTCGTAATTTGTCCTCTGCCTAAGTTCACCTTAGGCTCCCATGCGGTCCAATTTTTGAACAATTAGATATAAGTCATACAAAACTGTGTTGTCAAACTAATTATAAAAGTCATATAACTAGTGCTTTAAAACTTGAATTGGGAACTTGGATCAATTACCCACTGGACCAATCCGGATTTCCAAACCAGGCTCGTTCCCACTTATTCTTTGGTGCAGGAATCAATCGAAAGGCTACAAAAATATTTAAATACTATTTTTAAATTTAGAAAATTTGGTGTAGGAATCAATCGAAAGACTCCAAAAATATTTAAATATTATTTTTACATTTATAAAATTTTACAAATAACAATAATAAAATCAATAGGTAGGAGGCGATTCGGCTAATTTGGATCACTTGGTTCCTGACACTAACATACTTCTGGGTGCGTCTGTCAAAATCAGATTGATTTTCCAAAAAAAAGAAGGAGAAAAAGACTGATTATCCCATTAAGAAAGTAGTCACTCCCCGTTAATTCCCAAATCGGATCAGCATTTCTTAATTATTTGGATATAACATGTGTTTTACGAGTTAGGGGACGCTCATCTTTAAGGTGCACCTCCACAACTAAAGATTCCTATCTATTGGATAGGGATTTTTTTTAAAAAAAAATGTATTAAAATTTTATGTTGATGATCACCGAAGTGTATGGATCTATACAAATTTGGATCCAAGAGCCATACAAAAAATGAGTGTAGGGAGCTTGCACGAGAATAGTATGAGTCGGGGGACTCATAAAAACTGAAACTTGTAACTAAATGAAGGAAAAATTACATCCATACTATTTTTTCTAAACGGTACTACAGTTTGGTCCAAAATATATGAAATTACACAGAGGTCCCATCGACTAGTTTTTTTTTTTTGCTAGGATTTATCGAGAGTCTGATGTTCGTAACATCAGACTGCTCTTTAGGGTTTTTTTTAAAAAAATCCGGTAGATGGGGCTTAAAATCTCAATTTTTTTCCATCCTCTCTATCGCTCTCACTGTAACTCCTCTCTCTCTCTCTCAACCCATCGCCATGCCTTAGCTCACTATAAATCTCCCCTCGAGCAGTAGCCCATTTATCTTTTTGTTCAACATCAAACCACCTTACGTTATCATGTTGTACATGTAAGGTGGTCCGACTTTTGCAACAGTAGGCAAGGCCGGTAATAATTTGAAAACGGTTTCGACGCAACAATTATTATCATATATCAATTTATTGGATTTTTTATCCCAAATGCATTCACTCTTGGCCGTGTGATGTGTATGTAAGATGGTTCAATTTTTGCTATATTCAACCGTCTTTCCGATGTTTCAAACATAAAACCGCTTTGAAATAAAAAATGAGATGCTATCAAGTAATTTGATGATTGTTTGATGACTAAACAATCGGGGGTAAATTTTGAGGGCCGTCCTTCTAACTAATAATGACCTAGAGCCTTTTTGTTATAACGGTCTAATAAAACCAGTGCTAACGTAAATTTCTCCTAAATCAAACTCCACACCTTTTCTCAGGAAAACAATAAGTGATTTTTTGATGGATCCCATAATCTCAAAAGCAAAATGGCCCTTTGAGAGAGCGAGTAAATAAACAGCGTGATCCCGTCGGAACATACAGTACACGCTCGCTCACTTGAGACAAAAAATTGCCGAAGGTCTTCCAGTAAAGAGCCTTCGTTCTGTCTCTCTCGCTTGAGATCCACTGCTCTTTCGCTCTCTTCTTCTTGGTTTTAAAGTTCAGAATTCAGAACGACGAAGGTATGTATGTTTCTCTCTATGGATGCATGCATGTTTGTTTTAAACCCTAATTTCCCTTCCTGAAAGAATTGCAGTTGTGCTTTTGCATTTCTTCTTTATTATTTGTTCTCTCCAATAATGCTTGGTTTTATATACAGATTATTGATAGATGAATGAACGATTTCCTATCGCTGGATAACATGCAACAACGCATTGTCCTCCGGATTTTCACCTCCTAAGGACCAGAAGGATCTGCTTTTATGGACTCAAATCAACAGAGAGGCTTCATGATTCGCCAATTCAATGCAGAGCGGGTTAGTTTCTGTTTATTGTTTATATTTTGTCGTTCTGATTCGTTTTCTTTGCTTCAATAAATTTAATGATTTCGTTGGAAACACTCTGGGGATAACTGAGCAACTTACTTTCTGCAAACCTCATTTTACGTGCTACGATTTCGGAATTTATCGATTAATTTCGCTGTTTTGAGATATATGCTCTGCACTCAAGTCTTTTAGTGATTTTGTATGCATTTATTTTTAGGGTTGGGGAGGAGTTTGAGAAAACCTCATTGAAAGCTAATGTATGCCAATCTAAGAATAATACACTGTTCCAGTACAGTTAGTGTTATGGGAGTCGGCTTCTGGCAAGTAACTCGACCAGGAATGGGCCGAGTTACCCCTTACCCTGAGTTGTATGTACCACTCAGGGTACTTAAAAATTTCAAAAAAAAAAAAAACCCAAACATTGTTAAAAATATGGGATTGTCCTCTAAAGTTTTGTATATAATTTGGATGTTTTTGGCAAAGATTCGTGAGTCTTTTTCTTTTTTGGCATAATCCGTATTTTTATATAATTTGGATGTTTTTGGCAAAGATTCATGAGTCTTTTTCTTTTTTGGCATAATCCTTATTTTTAGATTTTTCTTTTCTTTTAGATTTTTTTAAATGTCTCCAATTATAAATCAATTCATTTAAATCCATTTCTCTATACTTTTTTAAGATTATTTGGAGTTTCTAAGGTTGTTTTTGGTTTTATTTAAACTTTAGAAGCCTCATTTTATTTTTTTCAAAATTTTGCCATTTTTCTAATTTATCACTCGGACTCAGCCAAGTAACGCTTCAGACAAGGGCCAAGTGCCTTGGCCGAGGCGAGTTCCTAATCATTGGTTCCTAAATAAAATTTTAATTGCTATGGATTTATAAAATGTAATGCAGGCTGTACACCCTATTTTCATAATATATTCTTTAAAAAAATAATATTCTGGTTGTGCACATTAACCATTGAAAAATCATACATTCCGTGTGTGACAATGCCTTTTAGGGTGTATAGTGCGGCTAATGTAACTCTCTGTCTTCCTCTGGTGAGTCTTTGTTGTTGAAAGATGTCCGTTGTGTACCTAGTACCTGTAGGAACCTGATTTTTTGTTACCGTTTGTTGTTACGCTTCCATTCTGGGAAGCTGTTTTTTGTTAGAGAATGACAAGTTTGTTGGGTCTGTAACTGGGGTGGTTAAGTTGTATAACTTGAATGGAAGATTTGTTAGTTATGATGTGTGTCTGGTAGAGTTGTCGGTTCTATGGAAGTCAAAACACTTCAAGTAGAGGTACAGTGATGCAGATTGGGGAGGAGGTAACTATAAAAGCTTATTTTCCTCCTGATGGCTTTTCACCTTTGCCGATGGGGCTATCACTTGGTGTAGTAAGAGCCAAGGCGTGATAACACAATCCACTATGGAGGGTGAGTATGTCGCCATGCACACGGCATTAGTTCGGTTACTGAAACTACTAGAGAGATCCCATATGAAGTTTATGGACACTCGGGGGTCACACTATTTTGTGATAAAGACACTTTGACATATATTATCACTCTATCAGAGAGCGTGTGAAGTAAGGAGTGCTGGCAATTGAGTATCTATCCACAAAATTAATGGTGGCCTACATTTTGATCAACACTGTCACCTTGGATCATTTGGAGAAACAAAGAGATGATGGGCATTGTACCCATGATGTAATGTTTATTTATTTTCTCTTAGGTTGTATAGTTATGTACATTTAAAATCATTAAAATATAGTGGAGTGATTATGAGGGAAAACTGGAAACCAACCCACTCGCACAGTGTGGACCATATACACCGTTTGTCATAGTTCAAAGGGATAACATTCTGATTGATGTTCATGTAGTGTGATGGTTCAAATGGATAGCTGGATCCTGGGCATTGCCTCAGCACGTGCTTATTATGCATGACACGTGGAAACACATGGAGCAGGTCCCACTTTTATCACTAATCCATGTCTTGGAATTTGGAAACTGCATTAGTGAGTACGAGGACGCACCCACTGGAGTACCTGTAATAAGTTATAATATCCATATCAGAACCTTGCTGATGAATCCAGTGGTTCAAAGAGATAACAAGCCTTTACAAGACGGATGGTCCATTGGCATGCTGCCTATGTCCAATGTTTGGAGCGTCCACGCATTTGGTCCAAGTAGGGGATTCATGGTGTGTTCCAAAGAATAGTCAGGGCTCTGCAAGACTGGACATATCTGAATCAGGGCTCATGCATGTTTTGATCTTAACTTTAAGGCACAGGATGAGAAAGACCTTGGGAAACCCTCGACAAAGCCCATGGTGAAAGTTCGACTGACTGAAAGTTGAGATCCATAAAAAGCAGACTGCTTTTCTGTGTGTAGGATACAATTTCCATGTGACTTGCTTTCACAAGCAATCGTGAAGTATTCAGATCGACAGCTGCCTTAGAAGCCATAACCGATAGAGAGGGACCATGTGTCTTTTGCCTCCAGGAGTGACAGAGGAGGACAGAGGACCTCCTAGAAGTTATATAGTAATGTGGTGAACTTACTTTATGATTTTAAAGACTCAGCCTAAGAAGGGTTGTATCACGCGACCTGCTCCGAAAACTCTTATGTCCACCAATATGGTTACCAATGGATAGACAGGGAGTAGTGAAATAAAGTCTATATAGGCTTTGCCGTGAACTGCCCCCCATGTGGGCTTGACACCCTGAAAGGATCCCAGGACTGCTGAGCGACAGAGTTTCAGTTTCTTTCTTTAGCCTTGAGATTATCTTCGGCGCTGCAGCCTTGCGCATTGCTAAAAACAGGGAACTTGAGCAAGCTGGTTCTTTATTATGTACATCGAATTGCCATGAAATTTTGAACACTGCAAGGAACTTGAGTCTAGTTGATGTGCACAAAATTTCAGCTTGAAATCATATGTAAATAGTAAGATATTAATGTATATGTGATTGATGCGGTGTATATGCTGTGTAACACTACCTTTCAGATGGCTCCCGTTCTCTTCAACTGTATCTAATGACTAAAATATATGCGTGCATAGTTATCATGGATATTCATTTATGCATATGAATGTACATTTACATTTCACCTCGCTTGAAGTATATTGAAATAAATATGTTTTGGCATGGTGATTGTTATCCCTTTATCTGCAGCTCTTCCATATACATAAGTACTTCAGAAAAATTATATCATGGGCACAACATTGAATTCAAGTAGTCATTATAGCTCAGTCTCCAGTCTCCACACAGTTTTTAAATGCTAATCAATAACACAACCAAATATGGCTTTGGGGATCATTGGAGAGATGCAATTTAGTATACTGAAGGGCTATGCAGGCATTGAAAGGGCAACAATCTAAGAGACACTTTGCACAAAGTTTGGCAGTTGTATCAGGTGAATTCTAATCGTGTGCCTTAACAATGTTTCAAAAAGCGCTAGGCGGCATCTAGGTGGTCGGGGGGGTCCGGGCCACTCAGTGCCTAGGCGGGCGCTCAGAACCTGGGCGGCCCAATAGAATATATTTCTTTTTGCGTTTTCTCTCTCTAAAATAGCCTATAATGGGTTTTAAGTTTCAAATGAGCCTAAAACCCACAATTTTGCCACTTTAGTATTAAAAAATGACCTAAAATACCTTCAAGGAGTTGTATTTCTGCCCCTGGGCGGCCGCCTAGGCGGGTTCAGGCGGACGGCCAAGGATATCCGCCTAGGCGCTGAGCGGTCCACTTTTTGAAACTATGGCCTTAAGTAGCGCTGGGCGGTCCACTTTTTGAAACTATGGCCTTAAGTAGTGTGGTGGATATGCTACTGTAGGAGCCATTATTCCTGTTTGGTTCTTTTGTTATTTTTTCTGTTTTCATATGAGTATTATATAACATAAAAACCAACATGAAGTTTCTAAAATGATATTCCTGATCATCTGTTTTCGAAAACGGCAAAGTGCGTTTGGATGTTTTGTTAATCAAATGCAAACGGCAGTAGTACATTACTCTGTTTTCTTAGGCCTTCTTGAGTAGTTGTTTTCAGAAGTAAAAGTGAAGAACTAGTCAGGTGGGCAAAGAAAACACAATCATATGCTTCTTCTGGCATAGCTTATCAGTTAGGTCTTACATGCCTGATACTCTATCCTGACACTTCCATCAATGCATTCGATTTGTCATGGTATTTTCCTTTCGTATTCCTAGTCTTCATTTTTAAATGGTTTGCTGAATTTTCTTGGAAGGGAAATTGTTCTTGTGGTGGCTTCAAATCCTTATGCAAATGGATAATCGTTTTTTCTTTGCAATGATTAAATATGTGGAGGATTCTACTTTGTTGGAATTCACCTATCGAGGATTTAATGTCAATTTAGAATTTTGCAATTTAGTCCATTTCTGTTATTTCTGTTTCTTCCATCAAGCTGCCACTATTTTTTTTTGAGGGAAGATAACTTATATCGAGCTACCACCGTTCTTTTTTAGTTTCTCAACAACTATTCCAATCTTACTAAACCTGTTTATTTAAATTGGCTTACTGTGGAGCTTTGTAAATATTCATGATTATGGAAGTGCTGTATGGCTTATCTGTTTTCTTTTGTTTTATCTATTGTGAATTGGTGGCTACAGTCCACCATCAGTGGCTCAACTTCAAATCTTCCAGACTCTTCAAGTACAGGCCGTTCTTTCACATCTTCATTTGCTGCTCAGTCTGGATCAGCTCCCGTTTTGCATCATTCTGGTGAGGAAAATCCTAGAGTTTTAGAACTTGCATGTTGCTTATGTGTGAATGGGACTATCGTGTGAGAAGAAATGCTTGTTAATAGGAACCATACAAGGATTACAGAACATTCATGGGAGCTTCAACCTTCCAAACAACCCAGGCTTACTCACTTCCCGCAACTCAGCAGTAGGTGGGGTTTCCACAAGTGGTGTTCAGCAGCCTTCAGGAGGCCTTTCTAGTGGACGATTTGTTTCAAACGGCCCTCCTGTGCCACTGTCTCAGGTATTCCCAGATAGTTTCTTAATGGTTCACTGTGACCATTATTAACTTAATGTTTAGCTTAAAAGTACGCGAAAGTCTCCTCCATTGTAAGCTCTCTTACCTCGTATAAGTCTTATATGCAGCTCTCACATGGAGGTTTGCATGGACATTCCGGAGTTACAAGTAGAGGAGGTATTTGCATTCTAATATTTTTATTTTATTTTGTGATATTTGCACAAATGGTGCTGGAGTTGCTGTTTCTTGGGTTTCACAATATATACTGCTGTTTCTAACTGAATTAGGGCTAGGAATGTCCACAATCTTGGGTATTGCAGGTCCCAGAATATCAAACTTGGGAGGTAATATTGTTGGTGGAGTTAACATTGGAAGGGGCATAAGTTCTGGTAGTGGGTTGGCTTGGCCCAGTCTAGCATCTCAGGTGAGTTTAGCTACTAACAATGGATCAGGAAGTCTAAGTGCACAAGGAGCGAGTAGACTGATAACAGGTGTTCTCCAACAAGGTTCTAGCTTCTTTCTTTAAACTTTCATTGTTGTTGCAAGAATATTCTTGAATACATGAATATTGTTCTGCTGTTTTGTTTCATTGTTTGAGTAGTAAGTCATCCTTGTATGAAGCTAGCTGTGAAAGATGCTTGATCAGGTAAATTTAAGTTTCTTATTTTTAATGGACGAGGGGTGAAACATGCAAACTTTGCGCTGCGCGTGATACAATTCTAAACCACATTCCTAGGTCCAGGGAAGTGTTGGGTTTGTGATTTGGTGAGTTGGAAATTCAATCTTTCGTCATATTTGTTTGATAGTCAATACGTTTATATTGATCTAAAATAACAAAGAAAGCACAAGCCATAGAATTCAAGAAAACCTATCAAAGTTGCATAAAGCAGTGTTTTATATTATGGGTGGTGCATTGGCCAAGTTACGCCAATCATATTAATTAACGATTGTATTGGGATTAGCTATAGCCATGGTTTAAAAACTTGGGGCTTCTACTTATGTTGGTCTATATATGTAAATATTGAGGTGCGCCAAAGCACAAAGTACCAATATATAAGTAAGAATAATGTGCTGGCTCTGCTATATTGGGGCCAAACTTCTATATGACTAGCTTTTACCTCAAGAAAAGCAGTAAGTCAAACAATGACAATATGCATCTTTTGGATTTTTTGGTTTTGATCTTTCTGTAGATAAGATCCCTGTCACCTGATCAAACAATTAGGAAGACTTGGTTATGATAATGCAGGATAGGTCCATCAGTTTGGGGTACCCAGGATCTTTCGCCCTGGTGCTTAGCTAAAGGCTCTCCCCAAAGGCCAGTTCCAATTATTACCTGTTTATACTAGATATGGATCCCAAGGGCAGAGGCTCCACACCCTTCTGGTTTGAAAATATGTGGTCAATTCATAGTTTCGGGAACCGTATGGGTAAGGCCAGAGCCCCACCATAGGAGCTTGATCCCGTGGTTCTTTTAAGGGATCTTAGAGGGAGTTAGGTTCAGAGAAATGGGGATCTCGCTTCCTACAAAATTAGATACTATTAATTAGTGTTTTAAAATGCAGGAGGCGGCCGATGCGTTGGGGGGGCCAATGTGGCGATACGGCTCAATGCGGTCCTGATGCAGGCAATAAACATTAAAAAATCAAAAAAATCCAAAAAAATAGGTTAATGCATAGGAAAAAATATGGAGGTGATTTGTGTGATAAATTGATAATAGATTTTTAATTTATTTATTAACTCTAAAGCTATAAGTTGTCAAAGATTCTATATCCACTATCTCTAATAGATCATAGAAGACATTAGAAAGTAGAAAGTAGAAACTTGAAACTAACTTCATAAAACATTCAACCATAATCACAAATTTGCAACTACAAACTTTAAAGTTACAAAATACAAACTAAAAGTTTATGAAGATTAAAGAGTTCAAAAGTCAAGACAAATCATCATAATTTCTCAAGTCTTGAGATTCTAAATTTCAAATCTTAATCAAACAAGTTATCTAGAGAGTCTCCATGTGCATCATTATCATCACTAAAATCCAAGAATTTCGAAAAATAAAATTTCTGCCACATTTTTTTTTTGATTGATTTAATCTCCTAGAGGCCACGAATGTGGCTGATTTAGGTGGTTTGGGGAGTTTAATATTCCCCAAAACCCTTCCCCCCTTTTTCGGGGCGTAAAACGACCAAACTACCCCTTTGCGAGGGGGTATTTTTCATTTCGCACACGGGCTGCTTATGCGCCCTATGCTGGCTATGCGCTATGCGGCCGCATATGAGGTGGGATGCGGCGCATCCCACCAAAGTGCATATGCGGTGCCAGGTGATGTGGTTGCCAGCACATCCCTCATGATGCGGCCGCATATGCTGCTGTGCGGCCACATTTTAAAACACGTCTATTAATTGAACTACTGCTCCTCTCCTTGGTATATTAGATTTAATTCTTTAGGGTATGTTAAACTGTGGTGCATATCACATTGTGGTATACTAGAATTATGGTATTAAAAAACCTTTATGATAAGTAAACTTGAGTACTATAACTATGGTATTGGTAAGAAGCTAAGTTGTATTGTAATGGATTGAGCAAGCAAAGGCTCGATCCTGATTTTATCATATAATATTAATTGGTCTCATTTTATGTATAGTGGAGCTTAGTTCCCTCCAAGTCAAAACCTCGATCACAGAGACATTGGGATCTCACTCCTAGATATCCTAGGATCTAGCTCCTTAACTTGCTGAATGTACGAACGTTGATTCTAACCCCAAACAGCGTCCACCGTATGGCGGTTCGGCATTGCTTGAACCACTCCCACTCCTGATCCGATCTCGTCTCCAACAACTATGGGTCGCTAAAGAGAAGGTGGAGTAATAGTGTGCCCGAGTGATAGATGGGCTTTACGGGGAGCAAATTCAATAGGTGAAAGAGAAGATTAAGAAATTGAATAAATTCACCTTTGGTCATCAAGGAGAAAGGAAAGCAAAAGTGTTTCAATTAGATTCCCTCAAAAAAAAAAGTGCTTCAATTAGATGATATTTTAGCAGTACTGATCTTAGGATAGAATATATGATTATTCTATCATGAGGTAAGATGACATGAGTTGGCAACTTAAATTAGGATGAAGTGGATCAAGGGGAAAATTGTAATTGCCTCTTTTGCTGAATGGCCATTGTGACAAGGGGCTAGGGATGAATGACACTAGAAATGTAGTTTCTGCTGTGGGAGAGATATGGCTTTGATACTTGTTACTTCTCTATGCCAGCCTTCCATGAATATCCATTGATCATAAAAGGTACCACCTCCTTTCATTATTGGGAGATCAAGAATGGGGATATCTTGGTAACATAAACATAGATTGATAAAGAGTCTTAGTGTGACCCATTTATCGTTTGTTATGGTTGCAACCAATGTTTTACAACTCGTCTCGGTTCTGGGCCTCGGCCCCTGGCATGGCTGAGAGCTACTTGGACGAGTTTGAGTGGACTCACCCGAGATCGCACTAAGCCACCCAAAGAGCCAAAAAACTCAAGAAAGTTGGGAAAAATCCCAAAAAATCGGTATGAATGGGACCCCAAAAAAAATGATAAACTACAGATAAGGTACATAAAAAGTAGATTTTTTCTTAAAAAGGATAAAAAAAATAGAAAATGGTTAAAGATAATTTTCTGAGAAAAATAGAAATATAGAAGAAAAAGAAAAATCCATAAAACCATGAATAATATATACAAAACTAATTATAAGTCCATCATGATTGATTTAGTCATGCTTTAAATCATTTACCCCTGCTGATGTAGCGAAAGAACATGGTTTAGATCATTTATTACTCTATAATTAATAATAAATCAATTACATATACTCCTGAGGTTGGGGGTACCGGGCTTTACACCCTATTGAGCCCGAGAAACTTGGGCAAGTCTGAGTTGGAGTCTCCAAGTTGTAAACACTGGTTGCAACCTTCATTCCCTTTTATTTCAAAGGTGCTACAATCCAAGATATGGAGGATTTTCGATGCAACCTGCTGGAAATTACCGTGATTTCTGTTGTAAACGCTGATAAATTACATATGAAGTTATTTCAGCTGTATAAAATTGCTAATGTTTATATGGGCATGTGACGTAAAAGACTGGAGAACAATGGAATTACAACCGTACCATCCAGTTGTTCAAGCTGCTGGAAATAAGATCGAGATATCTCATACCCTGTTAGCAGACTCATTCTCTCCACTGATATGTTTGCGCCATGGATTTTAATTTGCTCAACTGTGCTGATGTGGATAGTCACGTACAGCTACTAGTTGCGAAGAGAGAATGTTTTGGTTGTTTGGTCCTTCAAATTTTTGAAGTTCAGTACTCTTCTTTGCCTGTAATTGTCTTTAGAACAATTGTTTCATGCGGGCTGGATCGCATTTCTACAATATGCGGTCCACAGGTATAAAGCATTCATCTTAAAGATGGATGCAAATAGATGGTCCATCCAAAAACAATTGTAACTAACGGTCCAAATGTTTTCTTAATATAATTATTATTTATAGTTTTTAAAATTTATTTATTTTTTTCATATTCATGATCTCCATGTTAAAGATTATGTATTCTCTAAAAATTAGGATCAAATTATATTTAAAAAATATATTTATTGCCAAGCCCGCATTTCTACAATATGCGGGCTGGCCGCATGCTAATCGCGTCGTTGTCTTTATGAGTATTGTAGAGGTGTGATTTTTTACTCTAGGTTGTACAATTGAGATATCCATTTAATGATAGAGAGTGATTGTTTAGAAGTGCCTTTTATGTCCAATCCATGTATGGTAATGGATAGGGCATGACTTACCACTCTGGTCAGGACATGTTCTGGTGGGATCTACTCTCTATCCATAACCATACATCCTTTGGTTGGACAGTAGTGATGAATATGACCATTCCTTCTCTATGATCATATCCATCTTAGTATGCTTCCCCATGTTGAAATGCGTATACATTCTACTTTCTCAAACATAATCGTGTTTGTAATTGAGGCCATACAATTTTGTTGTGGCCATTTTCTACTAACCTGATGTTATCTCATGTCACAAACTTGTGAGCTTCATCAGAAAATGAATTTCACATACCTTTCCCTAGGAAATGACCCTGAAAATAATCCTTTTTATTGTGGCCATTCAGGAAGGCATTGCGGTCATACTTGTTTGGGAGTCTGCATGGCACTTCTTACTGCAAAGGGTTTCTTTTTTTCTGTTTACTGCCTTTGAAGTCCATAAAATATTATACGTGTGTGACGATTTAGCTTGTGTTTGAGCTTTTGACTATATTATTATGTCATTCCGTGTTCACCTATGTGGTGCCTAGCAATGTTTTCTTATAAAGTTTGAGTCATTGAAATCTGTTACTGAAATCATTCTGAGCAAGGAGAAAATCATGGTACTTTCAGCATATTGTCTCTTATTTTCTGGTAATAGTTATTGTCCATTCCTTTCCTTTTTTAGCTGTTTTTGGATGAATTTACTCATGGTTCATATGCAAGTGGAACTTTTTTTTAGTGCACGTCACTTTTTGAACTGTATGTGTCTTTGTGTTCATGTTGCTTATTATATCCATATGGTCTATATAATGACTATTTGTCTGGATTTTGCCAGCTCCACAAGTGATGTCTATGCTAGGAAATTCTTATCCAACTTTTGGAGACTCAATGGCTCAGAGCCAAATCCAAGCAGGGAATAATTTTTTAAGCTCTGTGGGAGTGCTAGATGATGTGAATCCCAATGATAGTTACCCCTTTGACATGAATGATTTCCCATGGTTGATTGGCCGTCCAAGTTCTGGAGGGCCTCAAGGACAACTAGGTAAAAGAGATTTCCCATGGTCATGTCTCGTTTCAGCTGGCTATATGAATATGCTAAATATTAAATTAAAATTTTCCCAGCTTCTCTACGAAAACAAGGTGGTGGTGTTAGTTCTATTGTCCAACAAAACCAAGAGTTCAGCATTCAAAATGAAGACTTTCCAGCTTTGCCTGGGTTTAAAGGTGATCTATTCTGCACTGAACTAAGCGCTTTCTCTATGATTCTATAGGACTTATTCTTTTAGTGGCTCCAGGGCTTGCTGCTTATATAAAAATGCCTGCCTGGCCTGCACTAATATCATGTTTCCTTACAAGTGTCCTTTGTCTCAATTGTAATCCAATGATGTAAAAGTGGACCGGTGACTAGGTTGGGCATCACAAAAACTGATTTGGATTGGTGAATCTGCGGTCTGGATCACCATTTTTATGTGCGAAAAAAATAGTGAACCGGTGAAAAAACGTGTGCAAAAACAGTGAACCTGCCAAGAACCGGTCCGGATCAGTGACTCGGCAATTTTATTATAGAAAACGGCATTTTTTACTGTAGAAAAATGCCTTTTTGATCGTAGCAAATCGGCGGTTCTCTTCTAGACCCGGACGATTTCGTATATATTGATAGAATCGGCACGGGGTGATTGATTCCTAGGTTGGGCCGGGCGATTCCGTGTCAACCCGGCGTTTTTGAAGTCATTGGTGTAATCAAATTCTTTTTCTTGAGAAGCTGTAGCTATGCTGTTAGGTATGAGAGTATGCAATTTTGAAGTTGCACCATTAACAAATTATGGCTCCATTACTTTTTGGAAAAAGTTTATATATAGCCGAGGCTTTAAACAATCAAATTAGAACCCACCTCAAAATTTTCACTTGAAGAGGTCGTTTTGATGCCCAAATATCCTCAAATTGATCATCTCAACATCAAGATGCATGGACATGAGAAAAAAATGGATTTCAAATTTTGGAAATAGTGCATCTTGTAATGCATTTTGGGACCGTCAATTTTCAAGTTTTCATAGATCTGCTCGATCCATACTGTTTTTTAAGCTTTAAATTTTATAATTAAAGATGGAAATATATTTTAAGGCTCTCACAAAGATTTCCAGTATTGAAACCACATTTCTCGACACTATTTGAAGATGCGCTTTATTTTGATTGTTTAGGGCCTCGGCTCTATACAAACCACACCCTTACTTTTTTGTTTTCTCTTTTAATGAGAAGGATGGTTAACCTTATAAGTTGCATGTATGAGTGCTCCCAATATGCAAGTCACTGAAGCAATTGATGCATATTAAAGCTGTTCTTACACTTTTTTGTTTTCTCTTTTTGGGTTGCCAAGTTTGCTGTTGGAGTTTATCATGCATGTGATGCTTCTGCCACAAATGTGATCCGACCTTACACTTAAGTAAAAATGGAATGCGTAGGAAATCAAATTACGTTGTGGAGAAATCAATGATAGAGACTTTAGACTAAAGCCACTCCATATGAAAGCCAGTTATGCAGTTTTTGAGCATGATAAGAAGAAGCAGAGGAGGGATGGTGAATGGTTCAACACTAGATCTGTTTCTGCCATGTGACATACAATGTTTTGGTTGGAAGTGTCTTCACTAAGCAGTGAAATGGGGTTGTTGGTCTTGACTGTGGGGATGGGGAGGGAGGGATGTTCTGATAGTATCCATAGTGTCTGGTGGTTTTCTGTCGTCAAACTCCTAGTGTTCATGATTTTTGATGGTTGGTTTTATTTTTGGGTAAATTTCTGATGGGTGGTTTTGATTGATAAGGTCTGTACTGGAGACTACTTGCAGATTTCAACATTTATTTGTTGCAAGGGAAATCTGTAGATCATCTTTTCTTACTCCGGGGCTTCTTAGACTTATTTGGCTTACTTTTGTGGCTTTTTCCGGATAGCTTGATTGTACCAATCTCAGTTGTTAGCCTTGTCAGGGTGCTAGCTTCCATGACCCGATGCATTGTGATACCCTATTCTTTGTAGGATGTGTCCTTGAGCTATCTTCTGGAGGATAGGGGAGGGGAGGAATTACTACATTTTGCAGGTTGGTCTTTGAAGATTGGTACGTGGGGAAATAGAGGCCTGCGATGCTTTTATTTACTGGGTGTGTCCCTCACAAGGTTCCCAAGAATCAGAACAATAACCGTGTTTTTGACTAGATAAAATTAGTTATTAGAGCTAGTCTCACGGTCTTTAAGCTTGATACCATGTCTAGCTGGGACCTGGAAACTTAAATTGCACAGATCTCCCTTGGTGACATTGGTTGATTGGTGTCGGGGAGAGTTGGAGCAGTTTTTTCCATTCAGAAGATATTTGAACCTTTTAGGTTTGGGTGGACCTTTGGAGGTAGTATTCAATGTCTTTTCTTACCTGTGTCCAGAGATTTCTTCCAGATAATTTCTGGCCCGTAACTCGGTGCTGGTCCAGCCTACGCAGGTTCTCAGGAGGGGTGAGCTGGAAACGGTCCTAACCTTTGGCTTTTTATGCACAAATTGGCCGCTCTTAGGACTCGATCCTGTGCACTTGCGCTGGCTACCCGAGCTTTTTACCATCACACCAATTGATGGCCAGATAATATTTGGCCCATTATATGCTAAGGGAGGTCCTCTCAACTTTATGAGGTGTGTCTAATCTGACATGGCCTTGCTGACCTGCTAATGTCATGGAAGAGGTGATGGAATAGGCTAATAGTTTCCCATCTTTTCAGTCCAATTTGGTTGTTGACATTATCGATGGAGCCCACATGTTGATTGAAGAGAGTTTTCCCATGCCCTGTTGATCTGTGCCTTTCCCAATTCTTCTTTGTCACCTTTTCCTTCATATTTTTGCCTTTCGAATCTTATTTTTGTGTTGTCTCTCTTATGTGCATGTCAATTATCCATAAAGATACACTCTTCAGATACAAATGAATAAAACACACCTTGCAGGATCCATTCATGTAAAAGAGCAAATCATAAGTCAAATACACTTGGGAGGTCTAGCTCCAAAACATATAATTAGATTCACACGAATAGGAGGGGGATGGTAAAAGGGGGGATTGGGGGGGGGGGGAGAGGGGAAGGGGAGGGGGGGGGAAGGGGAGGGTTTAATTGTGTCCTTTTTCCGGTTAGTGCAGTGGTCAGCAGTATGTATGCGCCCTCTCTTAGTTAATTTTTTTCATGCAGCTTGTAATGCTGATGCTGATTGGTTCTTTCACATGTTACTGTGTGCCCTCTATATAGTTTTTTTTATGTATGAATTCTGGGTTTTAAAAAAGGTACCACACTTGGTAACAAAATTATAGTCTTCTCTTTAATTCTTTTTCTGTGTTTTGCCTTAAATTGGCGGTGACATTTACTTTGTTTGCATGTGTGTATATTCTTTTCATCCTGAATAATCACTAGTACTGTATTTGAAACTTTTATAGGTGGCAATGCTGATTTCACGATGGATTTGCATCAGAAAGAACATCATCATGACAACGCCATTCCAATGATTCAAGGGCAACATTCTCCTTTACATGTAATGTGGCCTTTAAAGTTGTGGTGATGTCATTCTTGCACAATTCCGTCAACGCATTTTAACCTGCTTGCAGTGTTTCACAGTTGGGGAGGTCAGCAGGATTCGGCTTAACTGGAAGTTATGCATCCCATCGTCAGCAACAACAACAGCACCTTGCTTCATCAGTTGGTAAAACTGGAGCCACATTGGCTCCAGCAAATTCTCCAGACTTTCTCCAGATACATGGCTCTGAATTATTCCCATCTTCCCATGGGAAATCTGTTTCTTATCGCTCACAGGTGCTTCAGTTCACAAAAGAAAATTTACAGGTGCTTCAGATTGTGAAGTTTCAGTTTTTCATTCAAGTGATCCGAAATTCTTACTGTCTTAGGTTCAAACGGGTGGCACTCCAATTATGGGATTAAGAACAGTAAACACTTCGATTGCAGCTTCTGATTTGGCATCAGATGACCTGCTTATTCAGCAATATCCACAAGATCAATACCAATCCGAATTTCGTATACAACAGATTTCAGCTCTTGCTCAGCCCAGAGATCAGAATATGAAGTCCTTGCATGGGGTGCAAGCCTCCCTTGATAGATTTGCGCTGGCAGGTTTATTGAGTATTATAAAGTCCTTGGATATGGACCTGCAATCTTTAGCTTTGGGAACTGATCTTACCACATTAGGGTTAAACTTGGACTCCAGGGAGGACCTTCATCGAACTTTTGGCTCCCCATGGTCTGATCAACCTACTAAAGGTGACCCTGAGTATCGTTTGCCTCAGTGTTACATTCAGCCTGGACCCAGGCTACAAGTGAGTCATCCAATATTCAAAAACCTTGCATCTTTTACTAGGGAAATATGCACCTGTTTTTGACTCTATATACTTCGAATGTAGCATGGTTATTTCTCAAAATACAGGTTGGGGACACTGTTTTATGCGTTCTACAGGTAGTGTTTCTTATCTAGTTTAGCTTCTTTTATGTGTTTCATGGCTATATTTTAGTATCTCAAGATCCAAAGCCAACTCTTGCATGGTTTTGCCTTTCATGCAGTATGCCCAATGATGAAGCACAGTTGTATGCCGCCAATGAACTGTATGCTTCCCCCCTCTCTCCCTCTCCCTCCCTCTCTTACACATACACATCAGAGGGGCTCATAAGTGAGCAAATGCACATACAGTCACATACACACACACTCGCACACACTTGTGCAGACACGTGCAGCTACAGCTCTCCTGCTGATATTTAATTACAAGTACGATGGCATGTACATACATGATGGTTGTCTCAATATCCAGTTTACTGTTTCTGTTGCCCAACAATGAATCTTTTTACTTACGAGAAATCTATCTCCTAAATAATGTCCTAAAAAGCAAAGAACACTGATGTGCCTCCTATCCTCCCAAGGAAGGGCTATACCCATTTATATGAATGTCTCCTAATGCAATAGACATACCCAGCCACTCTCATGTATGGAGTCATGCACAGAATTCGAGTACTTGGGTGAGCCAGCTTGGACTCTCTCAAGTAACTTGGGCTTAGGATGGAGAGCCTGAGTATCTCCAAGTTGGGTGTCCAACTCGGGGATCTTAAACAAATAAATAAATAAATAATTTTTTTTTAAATAAGAAATTTATCAGCAATATGATTTTTTATGTTTTCTATCATTTCGGCAAAGATTGGAAAGTGTTTTGGCCATGAATTCTTATTTTTATATTTTCTTTTCTTTTTAGGTTATTTCTAAAATAACCCTGGTCACAAATTGATTCTTTTTAAATTTATTTTTGTGATACTTTTTTTACCTCATTTTAGATGAGTTTGTTTAATTTTATTTTAAAGATATTTTCCTATTTTTTTTGGATTTTCTATGTTTATTTTTATTTTTAATTTTTAAACATTTGTGACCTTGGCCAGAACTCAGCCCCACTCAGGCCGAGTACTCGGCTTAGATCTGGGGAGCACCCAGCCTGAGTCATTCTTTCCAACACTCGTCATGCACATGTTCTTACAAACACAAAAATAGATGCAAACAAGTGCACACGGCCATGAGTGGCAATGTGTAAGACCCACACTCTAGGTTTTGCTTTGAGTTTTGGCTATTGATGATGTTGGCCTGCAATTTGTTGGGTAATGTTTGAATGCAGGTATGCACGAGGGTGGTTCTATCACAGGGAGCTCCAATTGTGGTTCACAAGGGCTGGAAATGGGGAGTCCATTGTTGAAGCGGGCACCTATGAGATGGGATCTTATCATTATTTTGATTCCAACACATGGGATACTGTTAGAAAGGTACGAGAACTGTGATAAGATGTCAATGTTCATTCGTGCTGGCTTCTGGTCTGATTTGGGGTTGCTGAAAATTGCAGGACAATTATGTCATTTGTCGCGATATGCTCGAGAAGATACCGTCTCTACCTCAACATTAGCCCTTAACACATGGCATGTTAGTGTTTTGTTGGATTGTGGTGAGGGTTGTGACTTCAGCTTCTCTTCTGAGTGATGGCTTCCCTTTTTGAGTGATTGGCAATACTCTCAATTAATAGAATATATATGGGGAGTAAGTTCATGCTTCCTGGCTGAAACGCATTTTGTGTCATTGGAGGAAGGTCCTACGACAAAACCCCGAAGGAAGACAAGATGATGAAGAAGCTGCTTATTGTCGCGGGTCATTAATGCACACAATTGCTCCCTAAAACATGTGAACAACTGCTGAAAGTCGAGTGATTGCATTTTTCTGCCTCAGATGTCTGTTTCTTTTCCTCCTTGCATATTTTGAGGCATTGGCCCTAAGATATAATCAGTGGATGCTAAAGTTACTAGTAATGATCTGTTGTTCCTTCTGCCTCATCTTGTTTCTTCCTAACCTCATTTGTTGGAGTTAGACAAGGCCTAGCCTGCCGAGGAAGCTGACAGCCAGCGCCACAATGTGAGAGAGAGAGAGAGAGAGAGAGAGAGAGAGAGAGAGAGAGTCGAGACGAGAGTAGGACGCGCGTGCGTGGTAGAG